GGGAGCCGCCCCGGGGGTCCCCACGCCCCGGGGACGAGCCCAGGGCCACCAGGAGGGACAGGAGCAGCCCGAACGTCCCCAGGAGCCACCAAGGGCCATGGGGGGGCGAGGGACAGCGGCGAGGGACACGGACTGGCCCCAATGTCCCCGGGGGGGCCAAGGGCCACCAGGAGGGACAAGGGACCCTGTCTGGGGACCCGAACCCGCCCCAGGACGTCCCCAAGCTCCCCAGGAAAGAGCCAAGGGCCAGCAGGAGGGACAAGATGGTTTATAGTGACACCAGCCAACTCGACTGTGCCCGAGGGCCACCACGAGGGACAAAGGACAAGCGGCGAGGGACCCAAACCAGCTCCAGCGTCCCCAAGGGAGGACACGGGCCATCAGGAAGGACAACAGATGGCATCTGGGGACCCAAACCAGCCCCGGGATGTCCCCAAACCCCCAAAACAAGAGCCAAGGGCCACCAGGAGGGACAAGATGGTTTATAGTGACACCAGCCAACTCGGCTGTCCCCGAGGGCCACCACGAGGGACAAAGGACAAGCGGCGAGGGACCCAAACCAGCTCCAGCGTCCCCAAGGGAGGACACGGGCCATCAGGAAGGACGTGGGATGATGTCCAGGGACACAAAGGGACCCCAGTGCCACCGAGGCAGGCCGAAGGCCATCAGGAGGGACACAGGACAGTGGTGAGCGACCCAACCCAGCTCCAGTGTCCTCGAGGGTGGCCCAGGGCCATCAAGAAGGACGTGGGATGGTGGTGAGCAATCCAGACTGGCTCTGACGTCCCCAAGGGTGGCCAAGAACCATCATGGGGACCAAGGGATGGTGGTGAGGGACCCGACCCACCTCCAGCGTCCTCGAGGGCGGCCAAGGGCCATCAAGAAGGACGTGGGATGGTGGTGAGCAATCCAGACTGGCTCTGACGTCCCCAAGGGTGGCCAAGAACCATCATGGGGACCAAGGGATGGTGGTGAGGGACCCGACCCACCTCCAGCGTCCTCGAGGGCGGCCAAGGGCCATCAAGAAGGACGTGGGATGGTGGTGAGCAATCCAGACTGGCTCTGACGTCCCCAAGGGTGGCCAAGAACCATCATGGGGACCAAGGGATGGTGGTGAGGGACCCGACCCACCTCCAGCGTCCTCGAGGGCGGCCAAGGGCCATCAAGAAGGACACGGGACGGTGGTGAGGGACCTGACCCACCTCCAGCGTCATCGAGGGCGGCCAAGGGCCATCAAGAAGGACACGGGACGGTGGTGAGGGACCTGACCCACCTCCAGCGTCCTCGAGGGCGGCCAAGGGCCATCAAGAAGGACACGGGATGGCAGTGAAGGACCCGACCCACCTCCAGCGTCCCCACGGGAGAGCAAGGCCGCCCCACCGCGGCCCTCAGCGCCCCTCCAGGCTCTTATCCCGGGCGATGACGGCCTCCTCGAACTTGATCATGAGGGTGGTGCCTTTGTGCCAGTGAGCGGTGACCTTGGCGGGGAAACCGCTGGAAAAAAAAAGCGGGGAACCGGCTGGCGGTGGGGACGGCCTCCACCAAGCCGGCGGTGAAGGCGGCGCAGTTGAGGGTGCTGTTCTCCTTGGGGACGGAGATGTAGGTGTTGACCAAGGGCTCCTTCTCGATGACGTAGTAGGTCTTGTCGTCGTCGTTGGCCTGCTCCAGCTTATCGGCTTCTTTGCCGAAGAGGGCCCGCCAGACCGGGCCCTTCACGAAGAGAAGGACGTTGAGGACCTTG